AACTGATGGGGAAGCCAAAATCAGCAGCAGGCACAGTCTGCTAATTATGGTTTCATCACTTTCCCCTTTCCTTACAATCCCATTTAATATCTGCTTGGAAAAGTATCTCAAGTTGGTTCAGAGATTTTTCAGTAGATTATTTGATCCTTTTCCTTTTAATATACTGTTACATTTTATCCTTCCTTTCTTAGGCATCGTTCAGTCTCGAGAGACTATGGTAACGTGCTCTGTTCGGAAGACTTTGAACAGCGTCTAGTGTGGCTGAGAAGGCCAATTCGAGAGTGACAATCCCTTCCACACTGAACACAAATACAATCTGTCCCCTGTCCAGCTCCGATTTTGCTGGTTTCAGGACTGCCTCTTTGCCTCCGCCTGCTGGACAGGGGTCTCTTCAAATTGGGAGTCTGTGATGCACTGCCTGCCTCCAGGCTGAACGCTCAGATGTCAGGGTTTCCCATCTGTTGAGGTCCATTCCTAAGGCCTTCAGATCCGACATGCAGATATCCTTGTATCACAGCTGTGGTCTCCCCCTGGGGCGATTTCCCTGCACTAATTCTCCATCCAGGAGATCTTTCGGAATCCGACCGTCAGCCATTCTCACGACTTGCGCAAGCCACTGTAGATGTCGCTATTTCAGTAATGTATACATGCTAAAAATTCCAGCTCATTCTAGGACTATATTTGGAATGTTGTCTTGCCAGGTGATACCAAAAATGCGTCGGAGAGAACGCATATGGAATGGGTTCAGCTTCCTCTCCTGCCTACATTTTATATGTATTTTTCTTTCAGTTATGCAAGGCTTTTAATATGAACATTAACACAATTCTTCTGTATATTACAATGACTTCACACAAATAAATAGTACACTTTCACACCCTTTGGAACCTGATCCTCTTCTGAACCAGGGAAGAATCACTTCCTTTACTATCCTTTCTAGCCAGCCCATTTCCTCACACTGGTGTTGCTGTGGCGGTGGCTGTTGTGTGCTATCAGGCCACATCCAACATACGGGACTCTTTAACAGGGTTTTCAAGGTATGTGACACATTTAAGGCATTGTTTTACTAGTGCCACAATCTAGGGAATGTCTATGGGTATGCTTGAACCCAGGTCTCCCAACCTTACCCACGTACATCACAGTGGCTCCTTTACAAGGTGAGAAAGGGCAGGCTGATCAGACTGAGGCTAGCCCTGAATTTGAGAGGAGCAGTGCCGCCCTTAATGAATGCACCAGCCTTTCCAGGAAAGGTAGCACTTTCTCCGTCCTTAGGATCCACGCCCCATAAGAGGAGTTGCAGTGTGCACCTGGTTCAGAGATTTTTCAGTAGATTATTTGATCCTTTTCCTTTTAATATACTGTTACATTTTATCCTTCCTTTCTTAGGCATCGTTCAGTCTCGAGAGACTATGGTAACGTGCTCTGTTCGGAAGACTTTGAACAGCGTCTAGTGTGGCTGAGAAGGCCAATTTGAGAGTGACAATCCCTTCCACACTGAAGACAAATACAATCTGTCCCCTGTCCAGCTCCGATTTTGCTGGTTTCAGGACTGCCTCTTTGCCTCCGCCTGCTGGACAGGGGTCTCTTCAAATTGGGAGTCTGTGATGCACTGCCTGCCTCCAGGCTGAACGCTCAGATGTCAGGGTTTCCCATCTGTTGAGGTCCATTCCTAAGGCCTTCAGATCCGACTTGCAGATATCCTTGTATCACAGCTGTGGTCTCCCTCTGGGGTGATTTCCCTGCACTAATTCTCCATCCAGGAGATCTTTTGGAATCCGACCGTCAGCCATTCTCACGACTTGCCCAAGCCAATGTAGATGTCGCTATTTCAGTAATGTATACATGCTAAAAATTCCAGCTCATTCTAGGACTATATTTGGAATGTTGTCTTGCCAGGTGATACCAAAAATGCGTCGGAGAGAACGCATATGGAATGGGTTCAGCTTCCTCTCCTGCCTACATTTTATATGTATTTTTCTTTCAGTTATGCAAGGCTTTTAATATGAACATTAACACAATTCTTCTGTATATTACAATTTCACACAAATAAATAGTACACTTTCACACCCTTTGGAACCTGATCCTCTTCTGAACCAGGGAAGAATCACTTCCTTTACTATCCTTTCTAGCCACCCCATTTCCTCACACTGGTGTTGCTGTGGCGGTGGCTGTTGTGTGCTATCAGGCCACATCCAACATACGGGACTCTTTAACAGGGTTTTCAAGGTATGTGACACATTTAAGGCATTGTTTTACTAGTGCCACAATCTAGGGAATGTCTATGGGTATGCTTGAACCCAGGTCTCCCAACCTTACCCACGTACATCACAGTGGCTCCTTTACAAGGTGAGAAAGGGCAGGCTGATCAGACTGAGGCTAGCCCTGAATTTGAGAGGAGCAGTGCCGCCCTTAATGAATGCACCAGCCTTTCCAGGAAAGGTAGCACTTTCTCCGTCCTTAGGATCCACGCCCCATAAGAGGAGTTGCAGTGTGCACCGAAGCACAAGCAAAATTGAGAGTAGTATGCAGGTTGGGACAGGAATTGGAAGAGTACCTAATCCTATGATTCCTCCCTTTCTGCCTGGGGTTTGCCTAAGACCAGGGAAACTGAGTCATTGCTTTCTCCCTTTTTAGATCTAGCAGAGTTACAAGCATACGAGAATATAAAATCCAGCGGGGGCTGAGCTCGGTATTTCCTTTCTCCACCCTCCGGCCCGATATTCGCCTCCACGCCAGAAAGGTGACACGAGGCTGCCAAAGGCCACTGTTAGGATCAGTCTGCTCAAAAACAAGTGTCTGCGCAAAAGGGGCTGTCACGTGGAACGCAGGATGGAGGAGGAGAGACCAGAGGCTTAAAATGGAAGCTCATCACATACGGTGCGCCACGGCAAAGCCGTAAACGAAAGGCTATGGCGGCTGGGGGGGGAAATGCTTTCAGGAAGCGGAAGAGAAAAGCGCCCCGCTTCTGCAGCGACAGAGCACGCAGTGCACCAGGGCGGATGGGCAACGCCACGTGGATGCCCCCCCGAGGCCGCCCCTGCCCCCGCTTTTCGGCGCTCCAGCAGGCACGACGTCGCGTCTGTCCTGAAACCGAGGGCGCGGAAGGTGGCGTCCCGCACCGGCGCCATTGCCGCCGCCTTCCCTCTCCGGCGCCGCTTCGGAGGAATGGAAAACGGCCCTAATACCGTTCGACTCAATGAAGTCGTCTCGACTTCCAGGCACGTTTCTGATTATTCAGGTCCGCCCACCGCCTCCAGCCTTATAAAGGGGAAGAGTGGAGGCCCCTGCTCGGCAGGATCCGGCGTGAATGCCTTTGCTTCCGATGCCGCCCGTCCCCTTCTGGTTCCGCCCCCGGGCCAGCGCTCGTCTCCGCGATCTGCAGACTGCGGCGCTGGCTCAGAGGCGCCGCTGCTGTTGCCGCAGTTTTCCTCTGCAGAATGGACCTGCAGTTCCATTGCGCGGCCTCGCTTCGCCGCCGCCGCCACCGCACGCCCCCCCCCCACTGCCGCGCTTTCCTCTACGTATTATGTGTATGGCATCCGGGACATTCCTCGCGCCTGCAACTCCGGAGTTGGCTCCATGCTCTCCCCAACGCTGGAGCCTTCGAAATCCTTTCCGCCACGATGACCACGCAGTTTTCGTCTTGTGTGTGTTTTTCCCCCCCCCCCACTGCAGCGCTTTCCTCTACGTATTATGTGTATGGCATCCGGGACATTCCTCGCGCCTGCAACTCCGGAGTTGGCTCCATGCTCTCCCCAACGCTGGAGCCTTCGAAATCCTTTCCGCCACGATGACCACGCAGTTTTCGTCTTGTGTGTGTGTTTTTTTTAAATAGGATCATCTACAGTATATACCCAGGAAAGGCCGAGGCTGGGTCTTTCTGGATATGTTTGGTTTAGACGAGGGAGGATTTGAAATGCAATGGCGTCGCCAAAACCATCTCCCTCCCATTGCATGCCTGTTTCCTCAATCACCCCCACCCCACCCCCCAAATTAAGATACACGGGGGATGGAGGGGGCCCACAAGCTGAAGGTGAATCTCATCCCCAAAGCATGTGAACTATTCGAACATGAAGTATGGGGAGAGGCCCGCGCAGCTGTCGGCCACTTGTCTTCTGCACCCACCCACCTACCCAGTTCTAGCAGGACTCAAAGGAGAAGCATTGTGTTGTAAAATGGCCCAAACGATTCCTTTCGCGACGTGTCATTAAATGTTTTAAAGAGGGCGGCGATGGACTGGTGGGTTTTGAAGTGTATCAGACCCGCGCAGAAGCATCCAAGAAAGGGGTAAAAACGGGAATGGTTTGCTTAAGGCAGGGTAGAATGCAATTCCATTATTAGCTGCGGGTTTCAAAAGAGAGTGCTGTGCACGTTTTGAGTGTCTGTATCTCTGCAACTCTTGAGGTCAAAAGTATACTATGTATATCTGCCCTCGTCTCTGAAGCAGAATAGATACAGTGTGTCCAAATAGGCAATTGCCTTCCTAAGATCGGAATAAGTGTGACAGGCGTGTTCTTCGTAGTACAGTACTGTATATGGCTTTGCAGAGAGCTTTTTTTTTAAAAATTTGCGTGAGCTCTTCAAAAGCAACGCCTACATCTTTCTTGACTGCGAAGTTAGACTTGCCCCTTTGCGATAAAGGCGATTGTTGTCCGTATAGGAAAACCGTTTCGATTCTTTAAAAAACAGTGCTACAGTGTCGCCTGGAAATCTAACGGAATTCAGCAGAGTGTTACGAATAAGTCTTTCCTCTAAAAAAGGATTTGTCCCGCTGTTTTCTCATTAGAGAAGACTGGCTCATTCAATTCACCACGATCCTTCCCGAACACACGCCTGCCTTTCTCCCACGAAAAACGCCTCTTGTTTCTTGTAGCAAAAAGGGGGTCATTGGTCTTAGCCAATCATCGATTGTGAGCTCACAGATGGACGTGTCGGGCTGCCCAATGGCAACCGCGCAATAAATTCATTATCCTAAATGCATGTAAAGCCAGCTTCCCCCACCCAGCTCCTAAGAGGGAGATGGGATATAAAAGCAGCGGGGCGGCCCCTTCCTTTCTCCATTCTGTTACTTACATCGACTCTTAGCTTGTCGGGAGAAGTAACGTCAGAGGTTTCATATTTTTCCCCCTTTCTTTCCTTCTCCGTTTCCTGCAATCCTCTCTCGTCAGCATCATGGTGAGTGGGATCAGGTGAAGCCGGAGAGAGACGGGCAGTTCTAGTTCGCCTGTGCAGGGGGAGCTCAGCGTGTGGGTGAGGGTCGGTAGGCTGTGGTGGTGGTGGTGATGATGATGATGGTCTCTCTGGCCACTGGAACGGTGGATTAGGGGAACGGTATAGGATGGGGAAAGGAAGAAGGAGAAAAGAGGGGCCAACGTGGAGTCTGGATGGAATGCCATAGAGGCTAAAAGAGGCCACCACGAAGATGGCGGGCTTTCAGGCGGAGACGGGAAGGATGCCAGGAAGGGGGGGGGGCGGCGGAAAGATTTGGGTAGTTAAAAGAAAAAAGGGGGTAGCTTTTAGGAATAGGTGAAGCGAGATTATGTGATGTGTTTTTGAGGGAACCTGGAATCCCAGGAGAGTAAGTGGAAGGAACCTTTCTAGAGGGGCACGAAGCAGAGAGCGAAGGTTGCATTCATTTAAAGTGCTCTCGTGATGGCTTGAAAAGGGATGGCGGGAAACGAGGGCAGCCTAGTTTTCAGGGGATGTGAGGTCGCAGGGCTTCCTCGGAACAGGCGAGTTAGGGCTGAGGCAGAGATTCGGCCAGAAGCTTCTGGAAGGTAGGGAAGAGCTGAGATGTGTGGTGCGGTTTTTTTTTGGGGGGGTGTTGCACGTTTGGCAGAAGACGAATGAGACGAACGGAGCGCTCTTACTGGTGGTCGTTGTAAGAGGGCTGAGGTGCAAATGGCTGCCACTGGTTTTATGTTTCGTCCACTCTTTCGCTCCTCTTTCTCTTTATCCTAAACAACATCCCTGTGAGGCAGGAGAGTTTAACAGGGGTTGCACGGCCCAAGGTCAACCCCCATCCACCCCCACCTCCGTGAGCCTCATGACTTGAAGCGGGGATTTTTGTCCCTGAGTCACCTCCGCCCTAATCCAGCACTTGAACCACTAAACCGCCCAGGCCATGCCAGGTTTGCAAGAGGCGCGGGGGAAGGAATGAGTGGTGGCGGCGAGAATGACTCTGAGCCCGGGAATGGGAGTCGGGTGGGGGGGGAGGGCAGGAGGTGCGTGGAGTCACCCGGGCTCCTCCCCCCTCCATGCCGGCCGTTACACTTTTCCCGCGCAAGAGGTTGGGAGGGGTGGGGTGGGGGTGGCCTCTGCCTTCTGTGCCTCGGCGCCGTGAGCGAGCGGGTGCGCGCCTTGGAGCCCTGCTTCCGCTGCAGTCTGGGCCGGAGGGCTGCGGGTATTCGGCTCTGTGCTGTGGGAGGGAGGGAGGGAGTCCTCAGTTGCAGATCCTCCCCCTTCCCAGCCCCGACTTGGTTCCGTCCTCTCCCTTGGCTCAAAGAATGCAAGGTTAAGCCTGCTAATCGCCTTTTCCGGGCCTTTTGGTACCCTGCCCGGGACTCCGTCTGGAAGCTTTTGCCAACGCCGCCTGCTTCGGAAGCTGGCCGGCCGCTCCGTTGCAAAGCAGCGATGGCTTCTGAATGGAGCGTTGGCCCATCGGGGGGAGGAGGAGGAGGAGGGCAGGGTAGCCGGTGGAAGGGAGGCCAAAAATCGGGAGCAGACGGGGCAACGTAATGCTGATTTTTATCTGCCCTACACAGCTCCTTTGCTGCGGGGAAATACCGGCAATGTCTAGCAGTTGCAGAATAGTCTGTTAGTTTCAGTAGGCTGCTTCTTGGTTCCAGTTAGCTTTCTTGCAGATGAAAATCAGGGCCTTTGCAACCTAAATGGGAGGACAGGGTTCCGCTTGCTTAATGGGCTGCCATCCACTGTATAAAGCCCAATCTTGCTATACTGTACCAGACATCTCTTCCTATACCATGACCTCAGAACAGAATATGCAGACTCAAAAATAAAATTGGATACCTTGTTTTTGTCAATACATGGGAATTGGAAAGGCAGAATGGAGCCATAAGCTGGTGGCTGAAGCACATGTCTCTCTCCTCACCTTGACTGTCCAGTGAGTGGTACAAAAAGAGGCTCCTTTGTGTTTCTAAAATCTTCTCAGTCCCAACCAGCTGATGAGAAGTTGGTAGAAGTTTGGGACCAACCCAGGTCTTGCAGCTCTCAACTCGAAGTTGCTGAACAACTGTTTTATTCAAGCTGCTTACAGGGTGCTGTGCAACTTGCTCACTCTGCTTGGCTTAGTTCCCCAAATGTTTGGAAAACTCAGCAGCTGATGACATCTTAGCGCCATCTGTTCAGGGGAAGATGTTTAACAAGGAACGTGTTGAAGCAGGTGGCAGTTCTGTGGGATGGATGTGGCGTTTGTGGGTGATGATGAGCACAAGTAGACTGGGAGGAGGGAGGGGCCTTGCAATAATAGCTCTGGCAACAGACTGCAAACAGATGTCCCACAGAGAGAGAGAGAATCCATGCTCTTACAGGGAACTGCCATCCACTCAGACCTCTTCCTCTCCCCCCCTTGTTCTCTGTGCAGACGTGGGAGGGAGAGACAGCTTGCATCCGCTTTGCCACGTGAGTCAGCTGATGCATTTGCAAGTGGTGTGACTGCGGATAGGCCATTCAGGGGGCTGAGCAGACAGAACACACTTGTTGCTTTGTCCTGAGTAGCTAATTCCCCCCCTTTTTTTTAAATGACCACAGAATTTCCCTCTGTGATCAAGTCTTACACTATGCTGGAACTTCATTGATGCTTGCAAATAACAGCTAATGTTAATGTGTTATTTTCCAGCAAGTGGAGAATCACAAAGTCAAATCTTAATTGTTCCTCACTAGCAGTCTAAATTAGGATACAGCCCTTTGTCTGTTGCTTATATATTTAAAATGGTTGTATTGAAAGTTGCTTTTTTTGACCCAGTGCTTTCTTCACAGACATTTAATGATGCATTTCAATACAGTGAAATATTTGAAATTTGTTCCCAAGGAGAAAATATACCTGCCATTTAATCTGACCAAAAGTGCATTTAGTCCAGTTTACCTACTGTGGCCAAGGGAAGCCTACAATGAGACATGAGGGTAATAGTCTTCCCCTGTTGACAAGTTGGATTTTCTGTCTGGGCGTTGATCTTTTGACATCAGGCAAGCTAAGTGTATAGGGATGCATAGTAAGCTAAAGTAGGAGAGTAAATAAATAGGCGTCAGATATCTACTGCCAAATTTGCAGCTGAGATCCTCTGACTTATTTCTTTGACACATTTTGTTGGTACAGTTTCAGAGCTACATGTAACTTAAGTCAACAATTCTTACATTGGTTGACTGTTTCTACCTTTCCCTCTTCCCAATGCAGCGTGAGTGCATCTCCATCCACGTTGGCCAAGCCGGTGTCCAGATTGGCAATGCCTGCTGGGAGCTGTACTGCCTTGAACATGGTATCCAGCCCGATGGGCAGATGCCCAGTGACAAGACCATCGGGGGAGGCGACGACTCCTTCAACACCTTCTTCAGTGAGACGGGAGCCGGCAAGCACGTCCCCAGGGCTGTCTTTGTGGATCTAGAACCAACAGTCATTGGTGAGCAAACACGTGCCTTCAAATAGCTTTTAATGCATCTCTGCTTCTACACACAAAAGGAACTGAATTGTCTTTAACATTTCGACTCTTTCACAGATGAAGTGCGCACTGGAACCTACCGCCAGCTCTTCCACCCTGAACAACTCATCACCGGCAAGGAGGATGCTGCTAACAACTATGCCAGGGGCCACTACACCATTGGCAAAGAGATCATTGATTTGGTCCTTGACAGGATCAGGAAGCTGGTAAATAATTTGTGGGTCTGAGTATCTGGGGTGAATTGGGTTAGAGAAGGTGTATTTAAACCAAATCTGCCAAGTTAGTTTTCTGAAAATTAAAGCCCTACTGTGCAAAAGTGCAGGTGGTGATTTGATGAGATGCAAGGGGAGGTCAAGTATGAAACTAGTAAATCAAGAGGAAATGAGTAATTAAATACAAATGGATTCACTATACACTGGAAAAGTGCTAGGAATTTTTTGACATGACCTGTTAGATCGTTGTATGGGTATACTGTGTACTGTATATACTTACAATGACAATAAATTATATTATAGATAATGGGCTACCATGGGGTGTTTATAAGGTAAGGTACGCTAGCCAGAATGAAATGTTGTAGTAACAGTAGAGGCAGGTCAGTGCGTGGTAACTATTTCTATCAGGCTCTGTGAAGCACAAAGAAAAACTTGAGTTTCAGTTATTTTAAGAATGAAACCAGTAGATGAGCGATAAAGAAGGATGTCACACATGAGCTGAGAACATGCAGCATTTGGCAGTGTTATTAAAAATTCACACTAGATACTCACAGTGAACATCGCACTGTTTCCAGTGTTCCTCGCACCATCTTTCATGTTTGTGGCTTGCTCACTTCCATCTGTTGTTCCTTTTTATTTTTATGCTTTTGGTTTCTCAGACCTGTTGAGTCTCCCATTCTGCTTTTCTTGTCCTGTCTACTCTTGCTTGAGGCCACCTCTCCAGCCTTTGTTCTTTCATGCACACATATTATTCATTTTCTTACTTCCATCCACTATCTATTCCCTAATAGCCTTGCATGAATGCTGGAAGCAAGCTAAAAGAGAACATGGGCATCCAAAGCCCAGTTCGGAACACAAAAGATAGAATTATCTTTTCCACTGTTCTCTATCCCCTTTGGAAGAGGGAGCATTTTTGTACCCTTTGTATTGAGGTCTGGCTCTTCCTTCATATGTAAGTGTCAGGGCTGTCCCGTTATGCTAGAATTTCCCCTTCTCTGTGCAATTAGATGAACTTGATTTTAGCAACTTGTGCAGGATCTCTGAGTGTAAGATTCAGAACAAAGAGGGAGTTGTGATGGTATCCTGCCTACCACTTAGGTCAAGATTGGGCAGCTGTCCTTTCATTCTTTTGCTATTTGCCCTGATCCTTTGGTACAAAGTTTAAGGACCTAGTAGGGGACAGGGCAGGGTGATTCTTCTGTCGAGACTACGTCTCTAGATTTATTTTTGTTTTCCTAGCCTATTCCAGCTAAAGGACATGGTATTATGTATTCATAACAAGGACTCTTCTAATTTTATTTGCCAGGTAACACATGGTATATGGCGATGGTTAAAGGTTGAAAGAAAAAGCATTTGCAGAATATTCTAGTAATATGTGGTTCATAAATAATCAGTGTACTTTTCTGTTGTCTTGACTAGAAAGCTTATACGTGTTCCTAACATGGCTGTCACAATGTACCATGGGACCTATGGGGATCACAAAGAAAGGCATTCTTAACTGGGGATTTCAGTTTCTGTTTCTATCAGTAAAATCGCAATCAAATAACCCAGTAAAATAGCCAAGTATAGAGGAGTAGTGCATTCTGTTAATTAGGCAAAAAGATCCAAGGTAGGGTTGTGGGAAGGATGCTGTTGTGTAAAATGCCTGTGGGTCAAACCGTTCCAGCTATAGTTTAAACAAATTTACATTTATCTATTGAGAAATGTGCAAAGCATTGCATTGCAAGTTCAAACAATTTAAATAAACAGTAAAATTTATTCTAGCTGCACTTACCCGAATATTGGCAAGTCACTTCTCTTTTGTGCCAGGAACAAAGCAAAATACATGTGTGCTTATATATATTGTCCATTCCACTTAAAGCAATCTTTGGGCGGTTTACAGTTTAATTATGCAGGCCACATATCTCACCCTCACTGTCCCCAGAAAGCTGGGTACTCAATTTACCCACTTCAGAGGAATGGAAGTCTGAGTGAACCTCACACCCAGAATTGAATCCGGGTTGTGAGCAGAGTTTTGGCTGCAGTGTGGCAATTAACCACTGCGCCACAAGGAATAGTGGGAAATTGAGTTTTTCTGCCTTCCTAGTAGCTGGCCGTGATTTAGGTTTTCAGCAGAAGACCTTTTGCAGTGGTCTTGATTGAGCATTCATGTAACTATGCCATGTGAAAATTGACTTAGTAACCTAATTTGCATCGAGTGGTAAATCCTGAGAATAGAGGACAGGAGAAAGGAATAAGCTTTCACTTTTCTGTTTCTAGTTTTGAAACGGATGAGGAACTGGTGGGGATTATGATGGTGGTACATGGGCTTCTGTGCCTCCCTGAAGCCTTTGCACCAGTGTCACCTCTTGCATAACTGGGGGGGGAGAGACAGTCTGTTTTCACCCTGACAGAATGAATCCTTTCAAGCAACAGTGAAGAGCATATTATCATGTCATCTTGTCCGGTGTTTCTGAGGCAGAGAACAAGGTTGGGGTAGGATCGTACTCTTTGGGAGGTGGAAGAGTAGTAGTGGTGATGACAAACTTTTGACAAGATCAGACAAAACTTCTTAACCTCCTGGTTACCCAACTTGATAAATAGAAGAAAAAATCAATTAGTTTATGCAGGGGCCATTTCCTGTAGTATGTACCCTTAATTTAAGTGCTTTGATCAGCTAACTAATGATCAGCTTATTTATCATTTCATTTTGCTAAATGCCTATCTTATTGGTTAACCAGGATAGGAAACCATGGATCTAGAACACTCAGAATCTTTAAAACAAAACAAAACCAAGCAGTAAGGGTCTATTACTTTTTTCCAACAGGCCGACCAGTGCACAGGTCTCCAGGGCTTTCTGGTCTTCCACAGCTTTGGAGGTGGCACCGGCTCTGGTTTTACTTCCTTGCTGATGGAGCGCCTCTCCGTTGACTATGGCAAGAAGTCCAAGCTGGAGTTCTCCATCTACCCAGCCCCCCAAGTCTCCACCGCAGTAGTCGAGCCCTACAACTCCATCCTGACCACCCACACCACTCTGGAGCACTCCGACTGCGCCTTCATGGTAGACAACGAGGCCATCTATGACATCTGCCGCAGGAACCTTGACATTGAGCGCCCCACCTACACCAACCTCAACCGCCTGATCAGCCAGATCGTGTCCTCCATCACTGCTTCCCTGCGATTTGATGGTGCCCTGAATGTAGATCTGACAGAGTTCCAGACCAACTTGGTGCCCTATCCCCGTATCCATTTCCCTCTGGCTACTTACGCCCCTGTCATCTCAGCTGAGAAAGCTTACCATGAACAGCTTTCTGTCGCTGAGATCACCAACGCTTGCTTTGAGCCGGCCAACCAGATGGTGAAATGTGACCCTCGCCACGGTAAATACATGGCCTGCTGCCTGTTGTACCGTGGGGATGTCGTTCCCAAAGATGTCAATGCTGCTATTGCCACCATCAAGACCAAGCGTAGCATCCAGTTTGTGGACTGGTGCCCCACTGGTTTCAAGGTTGGCATCAACTACCAACCCCCCACGGTGGTCCCCGGAGGCGACCTGGCCAAAGTGCAGCGTGCCGTGTGTATGCTGAGCAACACCACCGCCATTGCAGAGGCCTGGGCTCGCCTGGACCACAAGTTTGACCTGATGTATGCCAAGCGTGCCTTTGTCCACTGGTACGTCGGGGAAGGGATGGAGGAGGGCGAGTTCTCCGAGGCTCGGGAAGACATGGCTGCCCTGGAGAAGGATTATGAGGAAGTGGGTGTGGATTCTATTGAAGGAGAGGGTGAAGAGGAAGGAGAGGAATACTAAACCTGCTCCCTTACATCTCTCAGCTGCATGGCTCATCTCCATGTTTTTTTCAGCTTGCCACACTTAGCTTGCTTGTTAACTGGGGAAGTGTTACTATGAGGGAGTGCAGCAGTCTTCATTAGGATGTCTTGCCCTTCTGCTCTGTGATCATGTCAGTTTTCCATGTCTTTGTAAACGTATCATGTCTGTGAAATAAAAGGCTTTAGAAACATCATGAATATGTGCCACTTGAACCATTATTTTAACATTCAAGATTGCTCTGCAGCATGCTTGGACCAGAGTCATTAGAGGTCCTAGCTCTTGCCTAGTTCTTGCTGCTCTATGTGATTCAGATGCTGCTTTCCTGATGTCTTAAGAAACAAAGGAAACTCACCTGATGTTATGCTATTAATATGTGAAATAGCTTACTTCAATAGCTTAGCTTGCACAGCTTATTTCTTCAGATTACCATGTAGATTTGCACTCCTCGACTAAAAGTGGGTAAGGAAGTGTTGCATTTACTCCGTGGCCCCTGCTGCTTTCACCAAACGGAGCTCACGAAGGTATTCCAACACTCCCTTTAGCATGCTGCCGCCAGTTGATCTCTCTATCCACCTATTTTTCCTATGAAAGACTGAGGTCCATTCAGTACTGAACTTTTAAACAGAAACAGGTTTATTGATTATAAGTTGTTTTAAGAATACTGTACGTAGTTCTTAAGCACATTCTTAAAGTTACACAGAACTTCAGTATTTTACTTTAACGTCTTCCCTCTTAATTAATACAGGTCACACTCTGACTAATCACTCCTTAAGCACTCTGCCTCAAACCCAAACTATCTTCTCTCTTCTCTGTCTTTGAGTGAATTCTCTCAGACTCTGACTCCCCCCCTCCCTTCTAGTTTCTCTGGCTCCGCCTCCCAACAGCTCTCATTGGTACATGCAAATAATCTTCTACCTGAGCCAAAGCAGGGTGGTTGCCTCAGCAGAAATGCTTGTGAAACAATAGTAATATTTTGCACGGAAGTGCTGAAATATAGAATATATCCTTGCCTACTTTTTAATTAGCATTTCCAAAGGAAAGGATAGGCAAAGGTATACCTGCTTCTGCTAAATGTCTGGATGATCCAGAGTAGTTGAGGACTTCTGACTCCCTATTGTTTAAGAATAATATCTGTAAAATGATTTCCCTGCCCCACCCTTTAGTACAATGCCAGAAGGAGGAAAGCTTAGGGTAACCAGAAGTGGAGCACTAGGTGGAATGACAAAGCTGTCACTGCTTTGATACTCAAATTGAGCAAACTGTCTTCCACATCCCACAAAGTGATGGAAAAGGTACTCCTTGCTCATTATTGGACTGATCACTGCCTACCTTGAATGCAGGGGGATAATCCCACCTTAACTTTCAGACCAGTGAGTATTTTGACATTCTTGATAAGGTGATAAGATTCCTTGCTGCAAGAGGATAAAAGGAATCTTGTGACCCCTTCAGAGACTCATTTCCCCTCCCCCAGGTAAGATTAAACGTGAATTTTAATCTGTCGGTTGCATAATTAAAAGTCTCAGATAACTTCGTCTGAGAGGAGGCCCAAAGCCAGGCATTGTCACACTTAATTTTAACTCTTGATTAATTCTGCCTAATTTTATTTGAGGCCAGAAAGACCTCAAATGAAATTATAGTGGCAATAAAATCGTGCTGCCAACTCAGTTCTGACTTTTGGTGACCCTTCTCCGGGTGTTCCAAGTAGAGAATACTTGGAAGTGATTTGCCCTTTTTTTGGGGGGGGGGGGCTCTTTGCCCAAAGGCCACTCAGGCTTGACTATTCACAGGAGGCGCAGTGGGGAAATGAACTCCCAGCCCCTGGCTCTGTAGCCGGACACTTTTTGAGTCAAATCCAAATATCCCGTCATAGCAACCCACCAAAAGCAGTAGCAAGTCCCGCCAGTTGATCTGAGGAGCAGGAGCAGAAGGAAGGCTATTTGAGTGTGATGTGGGTCTACCAGGCCAACTCAGTTTCTACTAACACTGCTTGTGGCCTGGCCACACTTTTTCTTAAGATAGGGAATAAAATGAAGGCTGTGGTCAGACTGAACAAAGGATGTTGACACACATTTTGCTGATAGAAGAGCTCGCTCCATTGTGAATTCAGTACATACTACAGTTGGTGGTCATTGTGAATGGGTTCTGTTTCAAATTTTGGCAACTCCTCATTTTGCGTGGGAAATATCACAGGAGACGTTTTCTTAACTATTAGTTACAGGTAAATCAACGTTGTTCATGACAAAATCAAAAAGACTTAACTCAGGCAACATGCCATAACTGTCCAATACAAAATCCCGAACCCCGCCCATTGAACTCACAGGGGTGCTGGGCCAAACTTCTCCGCCTCGGTTGGCTTCCAAAGGGGCGCACTCCGCACTGCGCAGATGGTGCCACAGCATGGGTGCCGAGCCCAATCCCCTTCAGGTGGGGGAGTGTTGTACCTTGAATCAGGTCGAATCACTTGTCGTCCTCTCCCTTTATTCTTGGGGAAAACTATAACTGACCACTCTAAGGTCTCATATCTCTCCTTCCTTCTTTGGAGTAGGATCTGGCAGCAGTCCGCCTAGTTTTAGATTCGGAAAATCCCTCAATAATTCCTGCGTCTTTACTCTCTCATATTCTCTTAATCTTTCTAGCTCTCTCCTCTGCTTCCACAACTCCAGTTCTACCTCAAACCGCAGTTCTCCTTGGGTACTTATAGCCTCTTCCCAGACTGACAGCTCCTGCTCCTCCCCTCTCTTACTCCCATGCTCCTCTACCAGACTTACTTCAAATTTCCCATCCATCTGTTCTTTTGTACTCTCAGGTTCCCCCCACACACACACACACACCTTTTCTTCTTCCTCTTGAGACAGCACACTCTCTTCTGGACCACCTTCACAAGCTTCATTGTGCAATCAGCGGATTTTTTAAAAATCTGACTCATTATCAAGGGTGATCAGATTGGTACCACATGCCTAGTGGTGATTATGAGCATGATACCCCACAGGTAGCACCAAGGTGTGGCCTCTTAGGTTTGTGATAAAAACTCTGAAACCCCAACAAACATAAACATGGCTTTCTTGGTACCGAGACCCATTTTTCTTGTACTAGGAGGGCATTGTATACATCTTTATCATGCTGAGCAGTGTCAGTTACACTCTGGTTGCGTTTAGGAGATGATTTTACAGAATTGCCATTCTCCTTCAGTTGCATTTTATGGAAGCCGTTAGGGAAGGCCCGTCTGCATTTCCTGAGTTTTCCCAACAATTCTTCAATTTCCCTTAATACATACCCATGCATTATGAAGGAAAAGACTTTGACAGGAACCTTATTACATCAGCTGTTCTGCTGGCATAACACCAGAAGCATAATTTGGCTAGGATTTGCCTCAAAAAGACAAAATATGACTCTTATGGCACCCCTATCACAGTTCTGTGTGTGAAATGAAATGCCTACTGTAATTAACTAACTAGCAGTTACTTGCAGCAGAAAGGTATGTTCCTGGTTTTATACTGGCAGAATTATACAGTAGGGATGTATTTCATAGGTGGAGCCCTGTTGGTGTTCCCATAAGGTTTGTTCAACCTGCCCAGACTAGTAACTGATACATTATTACTCAGCTACATCCCCACTTCTCCAGAAGGTTACCAGGCCTTAAAAACATTGCTTAAAGTCCTCATCCCCCTCCTTTATTTTCCGTCACTCTATTGCATTTAAAAATACAGTACAACCAGTAGCATAGATTGTTTCTGCTTTATGTGAAAAATTGGTAATACTGCTTTATTAAGGTTCGATGGCAGAACATTCTATTTTGCTGTCTTTATTTACATTTTTAAAATAGGATTTTACTTTACATAGTAACACTGTTTATTATTTATTTATTTAAAATATTTATATTGTGTCTTTCTTAAAGGATCCAAGGCAGCTGCCAGTATTAAGAGCAACAAAGTTAAAAACCAAATGATAAATTGTTATAATATTTCAAAAAGCATTAAACAAATATATTAAAACTCATATTAACAGCAAGATTAAAGAGACAAATAAAATGCAGAATAAAATGTGGCCTTGGTCAACTAGCCTGCCTGAAGATAAAAGTCTTCATTTGCGGAAGGAGAGCAAAGATGGGGCCAGCCTGGCCTCCCAAAGGAGGGATTCGAGAGTCTGGGAGCAGCAACAGAGACGTTATTAAACTAATCAAGGGCTCCTGACATGGATAGTCTAATAGTAATTCTCTATAAATCTGTGAAGCTTGTATTACATAAGAATTATCCCACAGTACATGCCAGTTCCACAAGTGAGCTTTGGTTCAGAGAGCAGCCCAGTCCTATTTTCACAATTCCTTCTTAATTAGTGTGCACAGTTCTGCATCCTATGTTTGCATCCATCACATTCTTTCAATAAATAAAATGATGAAGAATTCACAAGAGCAAAGCAGAAATCACAAGGTAATTCCCTAAGGTTTAACACATTTTCAGAGTAAATATAGAAAATAATAATGTGTGTGATCTCCATTTAATCAGATTTTGATAGCCACAGTCGTTAGCATGTCAACGCATGGCTATGCATTCAATCTATTATTTGGGAGTTTCAATACAGGTAATAAAAGTGATGGTCTGCTGGAAGCAAAGAGAATTTTAAAGATCTCTGTGTAGTAAAATGGAAGAGGCCCAGCTGAACAAGGAAAGAAATTAGGGAAGGAAGACTGTAAAAGCTAATCTAGGGAGGGAGGTCCAGATGTGAATGAGAGAAGGAACCTCAGACTTACTGGAATTTGTGGTTAGGAAGCTGCAATACAGGTGAGTGAAGAACAGAACTGCGATTCAACTAGACAAGGTAAATCCTGTGCTTATCAACTGACTGAAGAACAAAATTGGATGTTCTGCAATACAGTAAACATTTTAATGCAGTTCTTCTCTGCAATTTTATTTTGAACAAGTATAAAGGTTGGCATTGATATGACCTACTGCTTTTGAAAATAATAGACCCTATATGGAGGCTTGGAAACGGATTATGAAACCACCTGAGGTTATCTTTTCTTGGTGAGTTTCCATGGACTGACTAGTCAGGTCTCTATCCACTGCACGCTGCCTGACATACCCTTATTGTGACTAGTCATGACCTTTCAGGTCTTATTTCTGTGAAGATTCTCAGTCATCCAGGTGTGGTTATCTGGAAGTTGAGTCACGGCAACTGGACCTCTTCTGACTGAAGAAGTTACTTGGATGAGTAGCGAAACATTTAAACCTAGCAAGAAAGAAGTCCAGTTGCCACAACTCAACTTCCTGATAGCCAGGTCTTATTGTGAAAGAACCTTCCAGCTTTTAAAAAACTTAATGCAAGGCCACAAGATGGCGCTATATGTAAGCAATTATTTCAGGGAGTGGACAGGTAAACAGGCCCTGGATGATGCCTGGAATCTCGGAAATCCGTCATCAGGAGCTGCTGTCGTCAGAAGGCAAGAAAAACAGGATGCTGCTTTTCAAGGTGAGTCTGGACAGTTCTTTCATGCCAGAGAAGCAAACACTATAATCTGTAAGATAAAGGCAAAGGTTCCCCTTGATATTTAGTCCATTCGCGTCCGACTCTAGGGCGTGGTGCTCATCCCCGTTTCCGAGCCAGAGAGCCAGCATTTGTCCGCAGACAGTTTCCGTGGTCACATGGCCAGCACGACTAGACACGGAACACCGTTACCTTCCCACCGAGCTGGTACCTATTTATCTACTCGCATTTTACATGCTTTCTAACTGCTAGGTTGGCAGGAGCTGGGACAGGCGACGGGAGCTCACTCCATCGCGTGGGTTCAATCGTACGACCGCTGGTCTTCTGACCTTGCAACACAGAGGCTTCTGCAGTTTAACAAGCAGCAGCACCACGTCCCATTTCTATAATCTGTAGGTAAACATTAAATGTACCGTAATACAGAATCATATTTAGTGGTTTTAACAATATGAAGAGCAACTCATATGATGTAATTATTAATTATTCTCTGGGTCTATGATTTTGAACTTGGAATCCTGGGGAATAGGATGATGACAAGAGAGCAACCTACATTTGGGTATTTGTTGTTCTCAGGGTTTCAGGGCATGCCATTTAGACATGCTAAGAAGCACTGTTCTTCTTTTCAAAATTCATAGTGATGAGAATATAGCCTTCCTATTTCACACTTTCAGAGTCCAGGAGGAAACAATGTCAGCACTTGGCAATGTTCTACAGCTGGGTCTTCAGAGAGAAAACCTCTCTTAATGGAGTCTTCTGTAAGCAAGAAACTGGTGGTCCTCAACATAATTTTATGCAGTGGGAGAAAAATGGTTTAACTATGCTACAAATTCTGCCAAATATCAGCTGCTACCCACCATACACAAATAATATATGTTGAACTTATGTAAAAATTAACCCAAAGCTATGAGGGTCACTAGGCAGACTGATACCTAGATAGGTTTAGGCATTTTTCTTCCCTCTTGAGTTTTCAAGTAGCTACTGATTTATGTGTACATTACAACACTCAGACTTTACTTTCCCACTCCCTCTTGCAAGTAAGAATCACTGTTCTACTTTTGTTAGAGACAGGTAGCACATGGGGTGTGATGGAAATTTTCTTTCTTTGCAGTCGAACACATCAGAGTCACAACAACAAATAATGTAAGCCAAATAAACAAAATCTCAGTAATATCTAGAATTACTTTAATAACAGTTTATTCTCTAACCATATCAAATTTTGCAGAATCTAGGCCAATCCTCAACAGACAGAAGTTGGTTGATATTTTGTGAATATCTCTGAGAAGGGAACTATTACAAAAGACAGGTAGAATAATTTATTGTTCCTAAATCTCAGATATGTATATGGAAACAGTTTCATCACTCTGTTAAAAGCTGTACACAGCTATACAGTACACAACACATAGACAGTCTTTGCAGAATTATTTGAAAAGGCAGCACAGTAAGGGACTCCAGAAAATAATTTCTTTGTCACTATGGAGGATGCATTTCCATTGGTAAATTTGGCATCCTTTAAATGTCATAGCTCCATTCTATGGAATCCTGGAATCTGTAATTTGATGAAATGCTTTAAGGGGCAGCCGAGGCCTTCTCAATTAATGCACCCACTAGAGTGCTCAGTTTAAAATTTCAGAGTGCTGTGTGGCCATGTTTGAACCAGGGACCAACTTTGGACTTAGTGTGGTTTTCCCCCACCCTTTGCTTAATTCCTCAGTGGGAGATACTTGTTTCATAGAGCTTTTTGCTGGTTTTAACAGTGGGCTTTGTTGGCTAGTTAGATTGTTAAATTTGATTCTTAAGGAAAGTGTTTTAATATCAGCTTTACTCATCCTGGTGTCCTCTAATATTGCATTTTCTGAATTGGTAAGTAATACTTGATGCTACCTATCACCCTGGGTGCTGGGAAGTCTGAGGTGACTTGATGCCACAGAACAACAAACTGGGAAACATCAGCAATAAGAAACAACAGAAGTATGAACTCCATCCAAGTTTGGGTAATTTTACCTCACTGATAGAACAACCTGTTAATTGGGACCACCATAAATCAAGGCTGGGCAAAATCACCGGGGATCGTGAGGACTTGCCAAATTTTCTGGAGGGAGTCCCCTTTTCCCCTGGTGTGAGCAAGTGAGTGGCACATCCGGGTGTCTTGCCCAGGGGGCACAGGCAGTCTTTGGCACCACGAGCCCTTTCCCACTTTGTCAACAGGCAAAACACTTTTGCTGCCAAGACAAAGAGTCGGCTTTATACCGAGAGAAATGATAGTGCTTTTTTCAATCTGCCTCAAGCATTCACAGCAGTTCTGCCTGTGCACAAATCCGACTGCCCGCTGACCTAGATCTGTAAGGGCACGGCCGGTCTGGCCCTCAGAGAAGGGCTGAAGGGTTGCATTCCCGAGCAGAAACTTTCGTGCGAACTTCCGCAGAGCCGCGCGTCTCTGCAGTGCGGAGGGAGGGGGGGAAAAAGGACATCGCCGTGTCTCTGTCATTGCACAGTCAACAATGAGTGGCTGGCTACGGGATGATGGACGTATGTTTCAGCCTACCCGATTAAAGCTTTAGCTTCCCTCGGATGTCAGCTATAAAGGCTAATTGGCTAAGCCCGCCAAACATCCAGCCAATCGGCGCTTGGCAGGGCGGCGGCCTCTGGAGGTGCGAGCCCTGCCTTCGCCTTCGCCCTTCACTGGCTGGCGAAGAACGGAACAGTAGTCGGCGGCTGAGCGGGCTCTGCGGGTCGGGGTCTCTTTAAGAATGGAACGCGGAGCTCCCTCGGCGGCGCCCGAGGCATTGTGACGCGGGGGCTGCGTCTCAGCGTTCCAAAAGTTGCGCCTAACGCCCAGAGGCGGAAGCGGCCGCGGAGTTGAGGTCCATTGTGGCTCCTACGCTGGGGTTCTGGGCGCCCCGTTCCCTCCTTCCCCCGGCTCCTCCTCTGCCAGAGGCCTTTCTAACCTTCAGCCATGCGGACCAGAGAATGGACGCGGGGGAGCACGATGGGTTGTCCGCCCGGGAGCAGCTCTTTCACGAGAGGGTCCGGGAGTGCATTGTGAGTAGCCCGCGAGACCCGGCTGGCTGGCTGGGAGCAGTGCGGGAGAAGAGGCGAGGAGATGGCAAGGGGAAGGGGTGTGTCTGTCTGTCTGTCTGTCTGTCTGTCTGTCTGTGTGTCTGAATCGTGAAAGAGGGGGTGTCAGAAGTAGGCGAGCTACGTGTGTGCGTGTTGGCAAAGAGGAGTGATGCTCAGACTGAAAGAAAAAGGGGACAGAGGTGGGAGCAAAAAAGTATCAGAAGAGCTCCTACGTGTTTGAATTCCATTATTCTCTCTTCTGCCGAGGAACGTGTAGTCAGAAACTAGTAGTTAATTAGACACGTCTGTGGAAAGTGCTCGGAAACTTCAGCGGGCCCAAACTGCTACAGCCGGATTATTAACTGGGACTGGTTACAGGGATCACAGAACCCACCCAACCCCCGCAGCTCCATTAGCTCCCGATCTGTTTTCCAGGCACAATTCAAAGTGCTGATTTTAATTTATTTAATTTATTTATTTATTATTATTTATATATTTATTATTATGGTCTACTAAAAAACCTTTAAAGGTCTTGGGTCCAAGTTATCTAAAAACCGTATCTCCCTCCATGAATCTTGCCCGGGTGTTAAGATCATCAGGAAAGGCCTTTCTCCTGGTCTCACTACCCCTCAGAGGTGCATTTGGTGGGGGGAGGGCCCTCTCTGTTGCTGCTCCCAGGCTGGCCCCATCTTTGCTGTCCTTCTGTAAGCAGGCAAAGACCTTGCTTTTCAGACACTTTTTCTCTTGGTGACTGGCTGTCTTGGAGGCAGTAAACGGGGGTAGGGGGTTTATATTTTGTTGCTTCTAAATCTGTTTTCGTAAATCTTTTACCTAATTCACATTCCCCTGGCCCTGGTCAGCCCCCTGTAAATACCGTAGGTTGGTCTAGCAGAGCGACCAGAACTGTCCCAGTCCCATGGCACATGGCCCAAATCCTAATTGAAATGGGCCCAGACGATCCATGTCCTCCAAAACTGCCTGCACCTGACAAGCCCCCAACCTCTTGAAGCTCAGTTTCCCCATAAATGGAATATTAGCAACATCATGATAGTTTACATTGTCTGTTTGAAGATTGACTTTTTCAAACAGGAATATACCTGTCCTGCCAGAAGGAGTTTACTACTTGAGTGACCCATTTGACAATCACCTCTTTGGCTAATTTCAGGAGCCAGGAGGGACATGGGTCTGATCAAGAGGTGGCGACTTTAAAGTGTGCCTTGTAATAAATAAAAAAATATTATTTCATTAATATTTGAATTATCCTGTTTTGACTTAATTTTGTGTCCTTAATTATTGAAAGCTACCTAGTGTCCTTTATTAGGAGAAAGGCAGAGTAAAAAAAAAATTGGTTAATAAATAAATAATAAATGAGGCAGTTCAGTCCTGAGGTGTCCTGAAACTGGTAAGATTTAACAGGCATAAGGGTTCAGGAATCCACTTCATGAAGCAGGGCTACAATTCGTAGAAAGCTTATGCCAATAGAACCTGTTGGCCTTTCAGTTGCCAAAAAATCTTTTGGTTGCTTTTGCTGCCACAGGCAAAGACAGTGAGATTTCACTCTTTCTTGAAGGAATGTCGTGAGTAGGGGGCTTAAATTTATGACAGCTTGATTTGGCAATCTTAAATGTTGTTGGCTGTCTTAGCTGCTCTTTCCATGTCATTCCTTGGGGCTGTGGTCCATCTACCTGAGCAGTGAATGACTGTACATTAAGCACGTTTTAGGCTGTTTAAAGAATTTAAATATTTTAAACCTTCCAGCAACCCCGGTGAGGTAATGTTGGGTTACAAGTACTGCTTTGACCAAGAGCATTTGGTGAGCTTCATAATCGATGGGGAGTTGAACCTCGGTCTTTTTTCCTGTTCAGACTCCTACCGAGATCTATTTCTCTTACCGTCCTCAAGTAAACCTCAGCCAAAATATGGATTGTCTGGGCCCATTTTGATTAGGATTCAGTTAGTGATACCGTTCCTAAAATCAGAACAATCCCAACTTGCTTTACAACAAAACAGATTAATTAGAAATGTTTGGGTTTTTTGTTATTGTTGTTAAGTTTGTCATGACATTTTAAAACAGTGATCATAGTACAGTTTTCATTGTTGGGATCTGCCTTGGGTCTCCTATAGAAAGGCAGCATATAAATAAATAAATCTCAGTAATGATTTTCTGCGGTAAACTAACCTTCCTGCTTTTAAGAGAAGAGTGTTAAATTGTGAGACAGCTGGCTGGGTAGCTCAGTCAGTTGAGCACTTGCCAGGGGTTGGGAGTTCAATTCCCCACTGTGTATCCCAGATGAAAATTCAGCCTCTTTAGCCTTGGGCAAACAGCACAGTCCCAGGGCAACCCCAGAATAAAGGAATAAGAAGCTACTTCTGAGTACTCCATACCTAGAAAATTCTGGAAGAGGTTGCCATAAGTTGAAATTGCCTTGACAGCACATAATTATTGTTATTAAGTTTAGATGTGGTAGCTTTGGCATCTCTTGCTTGTCCTTCTCTTCATCTTACATATCTGTCTTCCACTTGATGTGTGGCCTACCTGATATCACTTCCTCCTATATTAGAAGGATGTGGGTGGCTAGGAGAAGCCATAGTTACATCACATTTTAGTTCAGTTGCCAGCTTAAAGGTAAGGGTTCAGACAACACCCTTTGTATGTCACAACCCAGCTTAAAAGGGTTACTTTTAAAATGAGTTGTGACTTGACACGGATATTGTTTGAAAGGCAGGCTGAGAGCTGTTTCCTGTGTAATTATGTGCATTAAAGCGTGCATTCAGGCTGATAGCGTTTTTGTTAATATCTGGCACATGTGCAATTGTTATGCTCTTAAGATATGTATTTAGGATAAGTGGCCAAAGCTGGACCTGTTGCGAGAGCATTCATAACAGTTCTAAATCATACCAATGTTTTCTTTCAAGGGCTTCCAACTCCAGCTCATCCATTTCGGGGCTGAATCTTGTGAATGTTAAATATATAGCAGGCTTCTGAGGCTCATATATTTCCCTCCTTTCTTTCTACTAAGTGTTCATGGCCCCAGTTTGGATTTGGACCACTGCACATACAGTAAATAGGGAAGATTCACCCTCCCTCCACAGCCATTTCCCTCCTTAAATCATCTCTCTCCCCATGTAGGGCTGAAAGAGAGAGAAGACTATATTAACACCAACGGGCTTCTTTCCTTTTTTAGTTCCCATTGAGGGGCGATTAAAGATCCCTCTTACCTGTGTGTGGAGGTCCCAATCTAGATTGGATCTGTGCATGCTTATTTGGAGTTAGAAAGAAGTGGAGATTGAGTGAACAGTCTCTAGTTTAGCCCTCAAAAATGGTTCCAAAATGGTCCCTGTCCTCTGAGCCTTGGCTTTAGGTCTAATGTGTGTGTGTGTGTTTGATGATGCCCTTGATGTATGGAGTTGCATCCAGTACCTTACTGAATAATTCATTGGGAATGTCATGTACACAGCTCTGAGCTGCTTGGAGGGAGGATAGGATAAAACAGCATAAAATTACAGTGGCATGCTGTAGCCATACTGACAATTTTGTGAATTGGACAAAGCAGTTCCTTAACTTATAGAAATTCATGCCACATGTCTGTCAAAATGGCCCGGAGATTTTGTCTAGTTTGAAGAAGAACGTCTGGCTTGAGGCTGCCAACGTGTATACTAATGTGGTTGTTCTTGTCCTTGCTGGTTTAGGGAGCCAGGTGTGATTTGGCAGGCATGCAGAGCCCGTCACAGTATTGGGGCATGCATGGGACACAAAAGATTATATGCATTTGTCCTTGATCTGAGTCACCAGAGCTGCAGCCTCCTGTCAAAACATGCTTGCCGTATCTGCTTGTTGCCATATCTGCTTTCTAAACCTTATTTTGCTTTCATCAAAATAGAGCAGCCTGAGTTTGATAGACTTCCACTGGAGGGGGATCCTTTTGCTCTGGCCACCTGCTTTAAATATGGTCCCTGCTTTGTCCGAGCTAAGTGAGGGCTTCCTGCCTGTTTGCGAGGAGCTGCCTTTTGGCCCTTAATGCCCAAGCGGCTCAGTTTCCCCAGTGTGACCTATGGTTCCTGGGTGGCAACAGCATGAGTTGCATCTTTATTTGCAGCACTGCCTCTGCCTAGGGACAGCCACCTGTCTGGTGTATGCATGATATGAGCGGCTTGGAAAGCTGAGAGATTCTTGGCATCACTCTCTGGGGAGCGGAGAGGAACAGTGAGTTCAGCCTTCTCAACGTGGCTTTGTGTGCCAAAGGTTAGTCCGGAGTCCCATCTGAGGACTCCAGCATGCTGGCAGGGGTTTGGAGTTCTGCAAGGAGCAGTTATCCGATTATCAGGGAGAATGCTTGGAGTTACGCAAGATGAACTTCTTGCCCCGTGGCCTCAAGGCATAATCCCAGCCGTGGGATTCAAAGCATGTGTTCACCTGGCAAGTACCGGTAGTGATCTCTTGGCATAGAGCAGGGGTCTCCAAACTTTTGAGTGTGAGGGCCACATCATATATTTTCAAATATTTTGAGGGCCAAAGGAATGTGTGCGTGCGTACATGCGTATGCACAGCTACACACACACACACACATCCAACCTCCTGCATGGACACATGCACTCACACCCCCCTGCACACCAGAAAAGGATCTGTGTTGCCAATCTGCTTGCCTAAAGGGCATCTCCTAAATATGCCAGCTCCATGTCAATGTGTGTCCATAGAAGCTAGATTAGGTGTTTGGCTGTTCCAATACTATCTTCCAGTGGTGATTGGTGCCCCAATACGGTTGGTGGGGCAGTAGATAAAGCAGCTAATAGAGGGCAGAGTCAGGAGGAAGAAAAGCAGGCGCTCATACTTACACAGATGCACACAGGCTGTCACTTACTCAGACACTACTTTGTCCAACCTTCATTTTGGTTTGGAACTCAGTTGAGGAGCAGAAAAATACAGCTTGAACACAAGTTTCTTCCTCCTCCTGCTTCCTGGGAGCGAGGTTCAAAGAGGTTGT